AACAACAACCTTTACATGATGGGGACCTCATTTGCCAGTAAAAATATGATAATTGGTTCTTTACCCTTCTATCTGGCAACAAAACTGACACCTTTTTGCAAGGAGTCATGTTTGCATAGACCGCAATACCTGCAGTCATAAATACAAACAAAAGACATAACTCTGATAATGTGCACTGTCCTTGAAGTTGATTGGTCCACACCCGAGACAGCTTTCCTTCGAGCCTAGTCTCATATGGGTTGGACCAGATGACGCCAAAAGGCGCACAACTCAAGGACAATGCACCATCAGAGTATGAGAGCTCGGGGCAAGCATCTACACTATGGGGACCTCATTTGCCAGTAAAAATATGATAATTGGTTCTTTACCCTTCTATCTGGCAACAAAACTGACACCTTTTTTGCAAGGAGTCATGTTTGCATAGACCGCAATACCTGCAGTCATAAATACAAACAAAAGACATAACTCTGATAATGTGCACTGTCCTTGAAGTTGATTGGTCCACACCCGAGACAGCTTTCCTTCGAGCCTAGTCTCATATGGGTTGGACCAGATGACGCCAAAAGGCGCACAACTCAAGGACAATGCACCATCAGAGTATGAGAGCTCGGGGCAAGCATCTACACTATGGGGACCTCATTTGCCAGTAAAAATATGATAATTCGTTCTTTACCCTTCTATCTGGCAACAAAACTGACACCTTTTTGCAAGGAGTCATGTTTGCATAGACCGCAATACCTGCAGTCATAAATACAAACAAAAGACATAACTCTGATAATGTGCACTGTCCTTGAAGTTGATTGGTCCACACCTGAGACAGCTTTCCTTCGAGCCTAGTCTCATATGGGTTGGACCAGATGACGCCAAAAGGCGCACAACTCAAGGACAATGCACCATCAGAGTATGAGAGCTCGGGGCAAGCATCTACACTATGGGGACCTCATTTGCCAGTAAAAATATGATGGTGCATTGTCCTTGAGTTGTGCGCCTTTTGGCGTCATCTGGTCCAACCCATATGAGACTAGGCTCGAAGGAAAGCTGTCTCGGGTGTGGACCAATCAACTTCAAGGACAGTGCACATTATCAGAGTTATGTCTTTTGTTTGTATTTATGACTGCAGGTATTGCGGTCTATGCAAACATGACTCCTTGCAAAAAGGTGTCAGTTTTGTTGCCAGATAGAAGGGTAAAGAACCAATTATCATATTTTTACTGGCAAATGAGGTCCCCATAGTGTAGATGCTTGCCCCGAGCTCTCATACTCTGATGGTGCATTGTCCTTGAGTTGTGCGCCTTTTGGCGTCATCTGGTCCAACCCATATGAGACTAGGCTCGAAGGAAAGCTGTCTCGGGTGTGGACCAATCAACTTCAAGGACCGTGCACATTATCAGAGTTATGTCTTTTGTTTGTATTTATGACTGCAGGTATTGCGGTCTATGCAAACATGACTCCTTGCAAAAAGGTGTCAGTTTTGTTGCCAGATAGAAGGGTAAAGAACCAATTATCATATTTTTACTGGCAAATGAGGTCCCCATAGTGTAGATGCTTGCCCCGAGCTCTCATACTCTGATGGTGCATTGTCCTTGAGTTGTGCGCCTTTTGGCGTCATCTGGTCCAACCCATATGAGACTAGGCTCGAAGGAAAGCTGTCTCGGGTGTGGACCAATCAACTTCAAGGACAGTGCACATTATCAGAGTTATGTCTTTTGTTTGTATTTATGACTGCAGGTATTGCGGTCTATGCAAACATGACTCCTTGCAAAAAGGTGTCAGTTTTGTTGCCAGATAGAAGGGTAAAGAACCAATTATCATATTTTTACTGGCAAATGAGGTCCCCATAGTGTAGATGCTTGCCCCGAGCTCTCATACTCTGATGGTGCATTGTCCTTGAGTTGTGCGCCTTTTGGCGTCATCCTGTCCAACCCATATGAGACTAGGCTCGAAGGAAAGCTGTCTCGGGTGTGGAGCAATCAACTTCAAGGACAGTGCACATTATCAGAGTTATGTCTTTTGTTAGTATTTATGACTGCAGGTATTGCGGTCTATGCAAACATGACTCCTTGCAAAAAGGTGTCAGTTTTGTTGCCAGATAGAAGGGTAAAGAACCAATTATCAACCTTTACATGCTTAAAAACGAGTAAATATATTACAACTAAAACGAAGCATATCTGCGGGTTGGGCACCACCCCACCCCTTATTCATGAATGATTGCTTTATAGAATGTTTGTTAATGTTTGTAAATGATGTAGCCAGCGGTAATAATAAATCGTCAAAAATGTTTTCGAATTAAAGTGTTAACATGGAAAATATTTAACACTAGTTATGTGCACACAGGCTTTTGGGTTAGATCACGTAAATATAAAATGTGTCGTTAAAGACGCCACCACCCGACACAGACAATTTGCAAGGTTTGTCAGGTAAACAAAACATGCCAATTCGTGACTAGTTCAGCACACCGCTTGTGTGTTGGAGAGGAACGAATTGGCACGAATTGGCACGGCTGTGTCGGGTGGTGGTGGGTTTAACGACACATTCATATTTACGCGATCTAACCCAACAATACCATTGGTCGCAAAAGCATACTGCGTGTTAAACTTAGTTAAGATGTCAAGCGTCAAGTATTCAACATTGACCATGTCGATAACGATCTCCGTTCTCACCTGCCACCCCAAACAATTCTAGGCCACGTCACAATTGGGGCAGGGGGGTTACAAATATTTTAAGTCGTCTTGTGGACACTCCATTCCTGCCGATCGCATGGACTTTGGCTATGCTAAATGCATTGGTGTTAGACATGAGGGGGGCGGGGGGATAATCTCTGTGGTGGAGGTTGGCTTTTGATGGAGACTTGGCCGATCATAATCTTTTACAAAAAGGTGTTGGCTGTCTCAAAAGTTGGGGCAGCTGTACGATGTGCAGCGTTCCCGCACACGGCTACGATGTTGTCGCGCGTTCCGCTTACGCGACACGTGTTGCATTATTGGGAAAGAGTGGACTTGTGACCCGTACAATGTGAAAGTTTCTACGGTAATTTGTAGAATGTACACGTGTACTATTGATGCTCCAGGACACTTTGAACTGAACGTAAAAAGAAAAACTCTTGACACGAGGTGCTATGTAAAAGTTTACCGATGGATTATGTATTATGGTTGCCTACGTACGGTGAGAAAGGAGTTCAACATGCAAACAATTTTACATTTGTGAGAAATCGACAAATCTTCAAACATGTCATGCCAAAATGTTAAGTTTCCTCTTGGCATGGTAGAAATTCGATTTTTGAAAGAGAAATCATGACTGTACTGTAATTATTAAGCAGAGTAGGTTTGCCAGTGCTCTGGCTTTGCTGGCTCCGGTTCTACTCTCGCTCAGCTCCGGTAACTCGGCTCCAGGCTCTCGATCTGGAGCCGAGTGAGGAGCCCCCAATCGGGAGCCGATTCGGAGCAGCACCACGCGACCCCTACGGCTCCTCCTCCTCCCTGGCTCGGGATCCAGAGCCACGGAAACCAAGAGGCATGTATCGTCTTGGTCAGTAACGGCATTATCCGCATGCGTTTTTGTTCAATTAAATTATTAGAAATAGTCCAATCAGGTTAATGTGTTTCATATATATAAAAGGGAAAGCTGTGAATGTGTGTCTGTTCAAAATGTTTAGCGTACTTCCCGACATGCAACAAACTTTAAATTTGCCATGTGGGTACTTTCCAGACTGTACACCATGCAAAAATTATGAAAATACACTTTTGTATTTTATTTTTTGGGGGGGGAGGCGCAATAATGCATATTTTTTGCATGGAAAGTGAGCTGTGACGTCACATCTGTCATGTCACTCCCGCAAATGCGAAAGCGTAACGCAGTGTTAAGATGTTTTCTTGTTCATGTTTTTGTTTGTTGCGGTTGCACCCGATTCAAGAGCCGAATGGCTCACAGGGCTATACCTAATAAATTAAACTGAAACTGCTGATGTCACGCACCCCCCCCCCCCAACCCTCCGCGAGTAAAGTGCCATACAAATGTGTTGCAGGTCTCAGGCGTTCTTCGCGCAGCATCATTGCTTTATTATTTCAGTCGTTTACTGCCGTACGCACCCTGAAAGTTGTGCGTCTCTGCAGCAAGCGCGTGTATGTGTACCTATGGACGTGCGCGTGGGGGGAGCGGTAGTGAAGTGGTTCGCGCGCTGCGCGACGAACCCTGCGACCCGAGTTCGATTCCCGCTCATGGCCACCACCAGTGACGATTATTTGAACTGGTCCTGTGCCTCCCCTAGGTCGACTCAGCCTGAAACGAGTAACTGGTGTGAACATCGCCACTGGGGAGATAAAGGAGGCTGGGCGTGGTGAATCCAAGTCCCGGGCGAAGCCGGGTAGTAAAGCTAGTATTAAATATTACATCTGGCTTAAGATAAAAAAAAACAAGCACACAAGATGGTAAATGACCCACAAGGAACTTGTTTTGGCCTCCTGAACTTTGGACCACTGAGATTGTGCAAACGCTCTGGTGGTGACGGATGTATTGGTCAACCATTCGATATCAATTCTTAAGCTTGTGTGTAATACATGTGGAATGACAGGGCACGTTATATAACCAACTAGGAGGGGGGGCGCGTCTGGGTTAATGGTAACAGGCGGGGTCAGTCGGGAATCTCCGGGAACCTGCTCGAAGGTTCTAGAAGATCCCCTGCACGCCTCCTACCGTCGTCATCGCTACATTTGTCAGCCAGCTATGTAGTTAGACGCCCACGATGGGGCTGTGTAGAAAGGCCGGCTGTGTGTAGCTATGTAGATAGGTTTCTCTATATCGCCCAGTGTTTGTGCCCAAGTGTGAGAAATAAATAAGAAGCCCTCTCTGCACGTTGTGTCTCGGAAGTCGCTCGCTACACATGCGAGCGATATTTAAGGCTGATTTGACCTAGGTGGGGAGGCGCAGGACGAGTTCATAATCTCCACTGATGTTAGATGTGACCCAGAGTCTCACACATTCAATTTCAAACATCTGCTCAAATGTAAAATCTAAAATGTTTATTCACAAATATCATCCACTTTCATGAGCCTTTTTGTGTGTTTAATATAAAGTGACCGTCTATAGACTATGGCTTATGTTAAGACCAACATGTCTTACGATATTGTAGTGATTTTTACAGAATAAATCACCAATTGTAGCCTAACAACCCATACATGTATCGGTCAATTTATTAATTCGCATAAGAGGCTGTCAAGGTGGAATATTTACAGTTATTAGAAGCTTTTAATGGCAGGACACTTATAATACAAATCAAATTGGACATGTATATCACTTACTTCACATAGTTCACCTTGAAATATTCTGACCTACAGAAATCTGGAAAAAATATTTACATTGTACACCAGAGCAATAAAATCCCATTAAAATGGTAAAAACAAAACACATGAAGGATATAATTAATAAATATACCAATGTTATTTCTTACGAGGTGCAGTAATTGACCGATTTGGTATATATCCAGAACCATAATTTCAGTAAAACTGGGTTTATTTTCATTCACATTGGGGGAATGAAAATGTTACATGTTATTCACAAAACAAAAATTATATTAATGGTGCTGCTCCACATAAATAGCAACCTTATGATAAAATCAAACCAATAAAAAAGTGCCTTCAAAATACCATATTGCTAATAAAAGCTCAGTATTAGTTCAGGTTTTTCATACCGTTATAGTCTGGACATATGTGCATCATCAAATGTCCCCCCATACCACCACACGCATTCCATTTTACCCCTTTCACACAAGCAACTATTGTGGTCGACCATGGGCATTCAAATGGGGGCTGGCAATTCCCAGTTATCGCGTTTATCTGTAGTTTTGGTATTTACACTGCGTGCTAAAAAGCACTCTTATGACACACACATTTACCTGACACGGTACATTCTAGGAGCAGTCGGTAAACAGAAGAACATTCAAAACGGGGATTTGGCAGAGGCAGGGTGACAAGTCAAGACAATATTTTTCTGCCTTAACCTTTAACCCTTGTATAACGTGGTCCCCACACACACACACACGTGTCGCATGGCTTCATTTCCACAAGCGTGTTTAACCAATACAGCCATCGCGCAGATCGGGTACAGCCCACAGCCTCTTACAAAACCGTCATTTTACACGAATTGGTACTCTTTTCTTCTTGGTTCTTTCGGTAAAGTCACGTAGAAGGGAAATAATAAACGAATAAAAATTCTCTCCCTTCTACGTGACTTTACCGAAAGAACCAAGAAGATGAATCCCTGCAGTCACGAAAGCTTTAAATCGAAATTTGCTACTCTTTTGTTCACTTGCACAAGGTGGCAATTATGTCAACAGCTCTGCATCCTGAAAATGCATGAAGACACACTGCCGCCAAAGCATCGTCACAACCGCGGCCGACGGCCTCGGCAAACCCCACGCGTTGACGAGCGCAGACAACCAACGCCCCCCATCACCGCGCGCATCTTCACAGCTCCTCGTCCATCACATCCAAGTAGCGGGATTCAATTATTTTTGGAACGGCAAAAAACCTGCCAACGAAAAGAAACGCATGCGGAAGAGAGTTACGGGTTTAAACAAAACGAACCAAAACAAATCTACGTCTATCTTAGGCCAATATTAAAATGCTGACAAGCACCTAAAATCTCCCTCTCGTTTCTGTCCATCCGGCAGTATGAATGGGGTCACCACCAGTTAGTCGAGATCGGCAGGTCACCTGCGGTTGGGCAAAGTTGTGGGTATGCCCTGCCTCCTCGCCAAGACGTATTTTGCCAGCGTGGAAGAGTAGGCCCAATATCCTCAAGGAGAGGTCCTTACACCAGCAGTGGAATGAGAATGACAATGTGGGGCTGCCCCTTAAAATACTAAAGCCATCTTCATGCAGAACTTTTCTTTAGTAAGGACTCCAAGTAATGAAATACACGTATAAACAATTATTCTCTTGCCATTGCTTGCTGTGCTTGGCTCCGAGTAAAACAAAGCAATGTTGACAGCATATTTTATCAGCACAGCCAAATGATGGAAAAAAATGGTGTCTCTGAAGTCATAGTTTTATTTTTCTATATCACACCGAGATGTTACATCACGATGCTTCAGCCAAGCATGACTTCACCGCAGCTTATAGTGACCCATTTGAAAAGTTCTAGCTAGGTTGCCGCTTGTTAAATATTTGTATAAAGGCAGCGGGCGGGCTTGGTTAACGGTGGCATTGTATTCATGCAAGAATGGAAACTTCACACGTGTTTATGATACATTCACACAAGATGATAAATGCCCCACAAGGGAGGTTCATATGCCATACGCAGTGATCTCCACAAGCCCGGTGGCCAAGGAGAAATCCTTAGAGCGGATGGTGGCACACCATTCGGTTGGATATTGGAGGGGAGAGAGGCACCTACTGCGTGGCAGCTGCGGGATCTTGCAGGAGGGTAGGGGCGCATTGGCAAGGCATAGCGGAGTCCACAGCGTCAGGTCATGACGGCAATTCGAGCTGTCGCTGCTTTCCAATTACCCTTTAAAGTGTTCCACAGAGGTCCATCAAACGTCTGAATATGCACCCCCCTTGCGTGTGAACGTGCCGAAGATTAACCTCGGAAGTTATCAAAATACGTACTTTTAATTTCTCTGTCGTTACTTACAATGTCACGTGATAAGTGACCACAGTAGGAAAAAAAATTGGTCACGTTTATTGGCAGTTTATATCCAGAGGAACATTAACCCAACATTGTTTGATAAATGTGTGTGTAAATGGAAGCTGACAGTCAAAAAATAGTGAAGTTCTCAAGTTAGTCTCAACAACCTCACACATTCACCTTTCCTGAGGTCCAGTTTCCCTTGCACAGTACTGACCGCAAAATAGAAGATAACTAAAAAATAATCATTAGCGTAGTTGTGGAGAATATGAATAATAAGCAGAAAATACGTATTTCCTTTACAAATCCGTCTCTCCACACAGCAAATTAAAATATTTCTTATGCCGATGGGCTGACCGGGTTGTGTAAGGAACACTTTTATTATTTGTTTTACATCGAAAGACAGATATGAGAGAGTTTCTTTTTTTTTTGTAAAATTGAATTTGTGTAACGTAAGCCATGTTACGGGTGACTGCATGGGGGGGGGGGGGGGGAAACAAAGCTTGAGTCAACTGTATTGCTCTATTGTTGTGCTTGCAGGTTTAAGGCACACACACAGGAGGACCGCACGTTGAGTCTGCCCGCAGCAGAAACCAACCCCCTCTCTCTCCGGGTAAACATTTACCCTCGGAGGCAGGCCTCACCTCACGGGCAGGGCGGCCAGCATGATGACTGGGAAGACCATCTTCATGTAGGGTATGGGGGAGAAGCCCACGCCGCACAGCACGGTCAGCTGCAGCAGCTGCAGCCCCGTGAAGTAGTGGATCTTGCGCTGTGGCACGCGGCGCACGTAGTGAGTGGGCGGGTAGGCCGTCTGTGCGGGCACACAAACACACAGTGAGACACACACACAGTGAGACACACGCACACACACACAGTGAGACACACACACAGTGAGACACCACACACACAGTGAGACACACTGAGACACACGCACGCACACACACTGAGACACACAGTGAGCACACACAGTGAGACACACACACACACAGTGAGACACACACACAGTGAGACACACACACAGTGAGACACACACACAGTGAGACACACACACACACAGTGAGACACACACACACACAGTGAGACACACACACACAGTGAGACACACACACACAGTGAGACACACACACACACACAGGTGGAAAACCGCGTCACATTTCACGGCCGGCAGGTGTGACGATAACTCTGAGTCGTCAAAAATCCACCATTGTGTCGATCCACTTATCGGCTCCTGTTTGACTTGCATCCCACTGGGATTTTTGCACACAGCAGCATCACTTTAAGATGTTTCTTGTTCATGTTTTTGTTTGTTGCGGTTGCACCCGATTCAAGAGCCGAATGGCTCACAGGGCTATACCTAAATTAACTGAAGTAATCTTCTTGATTCTTTCGGTAAAGTCACAATAAAAATAAAACATAATAATATAATTCTGAGAATTATTTTATAATTATAACATAATAAAATAATTCTGAGACTAAAAATAAAACATAATAAAATAATTCTGAGAATTATTTTATTGTTTTATTTTTATTGTTTTGTTGCTTCCCTTCTATGGGACTTTACCGAAAGAATCAAGAAGATGAATCCCTGCAGTCACGAAAGCTTTAAATCGAAATTTAACTAAACTGAACCGATTGGTCCACGCGTTTGTCACGCCTGCGCGTGAACTAATCTCGGCAATCAGTCTCCCCGGTGCAGCGTCCTCTCCAGTTCTCCTTTGGCTGCCATTCCGCTAATGTCCATCAGCCGTCAATCTGAACAAAATCACTTTTTTTTTTTAACAGCCATGATGTCTCCACTATTTACATGTTTTTTTTGGCGTTTGTGTGGTTCCCGATTCAGATGACTCTCCTCCCTAAAGTACCTAAATTATACATTGCAAAGCAAAACGAGGGGTTTCGATGACTCGAATGAAACCACTTTCAGAATGCCACGTTTCCTACAAAATGCTACTTCTGTATTTTTGCAATTATTATAAACGGACCCAAGCCGTATCGAGCCATTATTGGTAGAGCTCAACAATTTATATTTTAGTTCCAGTGCTTCATGGCAGCGCAGCGCTCTGTGAGCTTGGACCCTCTCCACCACAATCCTGCACGTGAACTAATCATCATGCAGGCCCTCGTCAGGATACAAATTCGTACAATAATCACCCTATATCAGTCAACCGTTGCTCTAACTGAAATACAATTGTGCTATATATCAGTCTGAGAATAATCTGCCCGAGCCGACTTGCGCTACGGGGAATTCATAATTTAATTGTTGGTGTAGATTTGTGCGATATTTTCGATTTGCCATGTGACGCAAGCTGTTTAGATTTCCTTCAATGGTGCACTTTCATTTCATTTGTTTTGCATTTGCCATTTTGGTGCCGCAGGGTTTCTCTTGCCAGCGAGACTACCCTGGGTCTCTTCTCGCCCGGTTAAACGAACAAAACCCGACACCCCTCATGCACTCCATTCCCCTGCGAGGCCAGAGGAAAATGATCGTCAACACAACGCTTGGATTCGCTCGCACTCGAAGGAGACGGCCCTAGAAAGACGACCACGTGACATTGTGACCGTGTCCAAGGGCAGCCGGGCTAAACGCGTTCCCGTTGCCCTCGCAGCGCGAGCTACAGCGGCTTGCCAAAGTGGGCACGCGGCCAAGTTCGAGCTAAAAACTTGGCAGTGTCGTAGGGTTGCCGCGGAAATACGGGCCAAGACCAAATACCGGGCTCAGCAAAATTGTTAAGTGGTTACGTGATCGCGAGTCATTTTCACGACGGCACAGTATTCCGCTCCTCGTTCTCGACGAGAAGACGACGACTCGGGAGGAACCACAGGCGAACGGCAAGAGCTCTGCGGTCCTCGACGTATTAAGCAATTATCAGCCAATTAATGATTGGTTACATGCGAGAGGAAACAGGAGCACCCGCAGAAAACTCACGCACGTGAGAGGGGGGGCAGGGGGTGGGGTGGAAACGCTATCCCATACAGGTGGTACAGGTTTAAATCCACATTTTTCATGAAATAAGTTTCACGACGTTTGTGCGATCCGCCAACCCTCCCTCGCCGCCTCCGGTGCCGGATTATAGGCCGCCACAGCCCGGCCGAATGTAAATGTGTCGCACAAGAAACACAAACATTGTAGAGCGTGGTCCTCACTCGTGAGTGGGTGGGAAATACCTTTCCACCACGATAATCAGTCTGGCCGCGTGTGTGTCATAAACAGGATGTTGTTAGTTTTTGATGATTGTTATAATTGACCATTTCACATCAGTTACAATTGGCCGTTTCCAGCCAGTGGTGATTCACATTAATATGACAATGTACCGAAAAATATCAGCGCACGCAATTAATTGCACAGGATTCTGGGCCACTGCACATAAATTACTGTCGGGCACATACCGACGAGCAGTGCAAGAAGTAATTCAAGTAAATAATGGATCTCGATTTTTTTCGATTTAAAGCTTTAGTGACTACAGGGATTCATCTTCTTGGTTCTTTCGGTGCGGCTGCTTGCGTTGTGGCCAAAACGTCGTGAGATTTTTTTGTTTTATTTTTATTATTTTATTATTTCCCTTCTACGTGACTTTACCGAAAGAACCAAGAATATGCATCTCGATGTTCATTTAACTTTGTTCTATGAACATTATTCGAGTCCCTTTGTGCATTTAAGTTGTTCTACGTAACATTACAAGCTTATTTTTCAAGGTCTCTCTCCCCTCAATTTCAATTTAAGATAGCCTATCGGTGACATTCCTGCATTCGCATTATTTCTTTGACTTTATATCAACAACTGCAAATCTAATGGAGAGTTAATCAAACATCCCCTATATAGGGCCCAACATAGGCGTGGTAAATTGTCGGTGCCAGTTCTGGCTACCTTCCCACGTGTGCGGTTTATTGCACCCCTGAATCATTCATTCCAGCTGCATTTTGCATGAAAATAATAATTAATTTTACTACATACGAGCTGTCTATTATGCAACTCAGGACCTGTGAACACACAACTGATGCTCACCACAGAACTTTTGTAACACTAATTTTCCAAGGAAGATGACTATGATTACGTAGGTCTATGAAAAGAAAATTCCCTCTGCTGTATTCTCATTTAGATTATGGACATAATAAACCGTAATTTGAACGAAGGTCATCGTGAATAAGAGCGATTCAAACCGAGGGTTTGTGAATTGATTCACATGAGGTATGGCCGTAACACAATAAGGCTAAAGGATCAGTAAAATTTGACTAGTCTTCCTTTACCATGCTGTACAAATGGATTTAGAATTTTGAAAAACACAATAGGCTGCATATTATGCATGAAAGCAGCAAAACAAAGGGGGTTGATGATTGACAATTCACAAAAAGGTACCCCCCCCAAGCGATAAAGAATAAACAATAACTAATGACAGACACAATTTAATTATGGAGGAAATTGACACGGATCTTAATAGCAAAAGCTCTCACAAACCAAGGCCTACTTAAAACAGAGAAATAACAAGATCTAACAAGATATACAATCTACCCAACTAAGATAGAATAATAACGAGTGTCATGATTTTTAGCCCTTTGTCAATCCATTGCTGGATGAAGGCCTTCCCACACACAGTCGGTGATGGGAATTGTCTGACCATACATCGTTGGTGCGCAACGAATGGTTGCCCACGATGACGCAAAATATCACTTGGCATCAACGTTGGCCGTGCCCACCGCTCCACGCCTACTAACACGTTCATGACAAAATATTGGCGATAAGGAGGGAGGCTGCATATGGGAAGATTGCCAAACATATTTCGTAACTCACACAGCTGCCACGATGATTTTTTTTAAGTGGGGCAAGGGGCAGAAGTTGTTTGTCACACTGACAGTCCAAACCATTATTTTTGTTTTGTAAAGTCGTTAGTATCTATATGTATTAATATCCATTCTTTGAAATATTATAAAGTACGTTTTTAGGGTTAAAAAGTGTAACTTTTGATGCTATCGGAGCGAATAAAACCTTTTTAATGTGCATTTCCTATCCTCGCTTAATGACCAAATTACTTAATGGCCGGTTTTCCTGGAACCAATTACCGTCATCAAGAGAGGTCCTACTGTCCAGTAACACGTAACAAAGTCTGTCGCCGGCTCCGAAATGTGTTGGTAATGTCGTGCGCTCAAAATTATTCCACGAATCGTCATTGTCCGAAATAAATATGGAGGCAAGCCATAGCCACTGCAACTCCGCAAGTGGTAATAAAGTTTTTCACAAAACGACCCCAGAAGGAAATTTTTCACAACCCTTTCAACGTACGCTTTTGAGCCGCGTTACCTCGGAACGTTTGGACGATGACCGAGTGGGGGCGTCATACAAGGGGGGCACTGTAGATGCAAGCGCGCCAAGATCTGCTCTCAACTACAGGAAACGAATCCAGGAAACTCATTTGGTGGTTAAAAACAACACTAATGTTCCAGATTGGTTTTTTTTAGTCTCTGTAAAAAACTAAACCGCAAAATTTAAATCATGCAAATTCGAAACCCGTTGCAACTTATAGAGTTTAACAAACTCACGTATTCTGGAATTTATCAAATGCAGCTATTTTTATCCTAACACTTCATTTGGCCACATTTTCAGTACCACACATTAATATATAGTACTGCGTGAAGAGGCCGTCAAGTGATCCTCCTTCCTGCAACCACAACAACTTGCATTTACGTTGCACCGACAATGTTACAAACATCTCCGAGTGCAGCTTTAATGCTTTTAATCCTAGAGGACCCTCTGTCGGTAACCGTCTGCGTGGCACAAGGCCAACAACAGCAACGACCTTCAACCTATCATTTGTCTCCGACTGGGTTTTCCAATTAAGTACACATTCATTTATTTTTTTCGTATTTGGACCCTGACGCCGACAGATATGGCTTGCTCATTTTTAACGCCCACAGTGATGCAGTCGGTGCGTATTTTTTTCCCCGATTAATACACCTGGCAGTATTAACCGGGGTTGATCAGGGGGTCTTGAAAAATCATACATCTCTCTCTGCAACAAGTGGTCAAACACACCACCGCCGCTCAGGCCAATGTATCCCAAGAACCAAACGTGACATTGCAAAACCCTGCGCCTGCCACTTCATTACCTGTTCGGTGAACAGCAGAGCCAGACGCTGGAAGAGCTGGTTTCCATCCAGCGACGTGAGAGCTATGTACAAAAAGATGCCATCCAGCACGGGCCGTGGAATCCACTGCAGTGGCAGGGGTAGCAGAAAAAAAAGTGACAAACCCAGCAGCATGTGCGCTAGGAGCACTGGGACGCGTGTCTCGCGCACGCACACGATGCTGCAAGCGTGCACACACACACACACACAAACGCGCACACACACACATGCACAAGGTCACGTGGGCACAGGCTGACGTGAGCGCACAAGCGTTCGCACGCAAAGACATTCCTTAGAAATGTTAATTTCCAACAGTGGTCCTGCTAGTCCTTTGGGCTGCCGGAGAAAACATAACTTAGGGTGCGCGTCACCTGAATACAAAAGCTATAGTACAAGCCACATAGCTCAATTACATCACAGTCATGTGACATAATAAACGTAGTAGACTAATTACTAGCGTTGGTAATAAAGTCATTGGAATTGAGCTGTTAATTTGACAAGGATCCGAGTTTAAGCCTATATTGGTGAACGCCTATTTATTTAAGGGGAGCTGCCTTGGCGTCATGGCGAGCACGACTGAACTTGCGATCATGGGTCGGCCGTTTGATTCCATCTCGGCATTTGAACAATGCGCAAGTTGATGACCCCCGCCCCCCACCTCTGTCCACCCAGCAGTATAAATGGGTAGACCCCAGTCACATGGCAGGTCGTGTGTCGGCACGAAAGAGCAGAGCCCAAATACCCTCTACAACTCCCCCTCTAGTGGAGGCCCTTCCACCAGCAATTTGCACGAGCAAGCAATTGCAGGGCTGCACTAGTGTCGCTTACACACACACAGTAATAGGCTGGTTAACATCGGCGACGCGTTGCTGAAAGGTGCGACGGCCAATATCGAAATGGCTCAAATCAAGGCGATTTTACAGGGTAGGTAGGTGGAGGTGAAGGCCGAGGCAACGGACACGGGAGAGGACGGACGATGCTGTCAGCGATGCAAGTGTGGGTGTTGAGGCGACGCAAATCGGGTAGCATGTGTTAATAAAGTGACGACGTATATTTGCGAAAAGGGGCAAAAAAATTGACTTAAATCGGGGTGTTGCTGCATTTTTTTTAAAGAACTCTTTAAATTACTTGGTACCCCAAGCTTTTGCTTAATTAGTTTGTGCCCAGCACCACTGCCGAATGCTAATACTGCTCAAAACTACCCGGGGGAATTCAATCGGGCAAGCTCCATTCCCGTAGTTTGTCGCGTTGGGCATGTGCGGCGCTATGGGCACGTGGCGGTGTGCACCCCCGCTCACGTTTCGTCCACGTGGCCGTCCTCCACGCGCTCTTCGACCGTGGCGAGCGCGCGCACGTGCAGCGGAGAGTGCGGGAAGGCGGCGTGCATCCAGGGCAGCCCGAAAAGCGAGAAGGTGGCGTTGAGTACGGCCACCAGGAGCAGGTCCCAGTGGTACGACGTGCCCTTCTTCAGCCTGCCGTGGCAACGACGCGCAGCCGACTGTTAAATGGTCCCTGCCTGCGAGCGGTCTCTACGTAGAGGCGACGAACGTTCGTCATTAAAGTTTATTTATTTCTCAGCCCACGCTTTCATTGGAGCTCGTTGACAGTTTTTGGTGTGGTTTCACGCATGTGCCAATTTTGCATTCGGTAGACAAAAGAACGCGGTTATCATTTATATTAAGCCATCTCAACCACCAAAGTGCCAGTGCCTTGGGGTTAAGGAGGTTTCCGATTCTACGTATTATCTACGTGTGCAACTGCAAACCCACGCACGTCTTGGCTTAAGGCCACCAGAGTCGACGATTTTTTCATCCAGAAGCACTGCTATATATCATTGTGACAAGTTCACGGGGACCGCACACGCACATCAAGAGAACAAGTATCGCCCATGGGCACGCCGAGAGCAAACCTGTTGTGCGGTGCGTTGGTGAGCGAGGCGGCCATCGTGTGCTCCATGAAGAAAAGGATTGAGAGCAGGAAGCCGATGCCCATTGCGCTGCATATAGAGCCCACTGTTAGGAGACTCAGTGGCGCCAGCGCAAAGTAGCTCTCACTCGGAGTGTAGCTGAACTTGAGCCCTGTCACTGCAACACACGCAACAGGAGGCGGGCGGCGGGGGGGGGGGGCAGACATTACCAACACATTTCAGAGCCGGCGACAGACTTTGTTACGTGTTACTGTACAGTAGGACCTCTCTTGATGACGGTAATTGGTTCCAGTGAAACCGGTCGTTAAGTAATTTGGTCATTAAGTGAGGATAGGAAATACAAATTAAAAGTTTTAATTCCCTCCGAAACCATCAAAAGTTCCACTTTTTAACCCGAAAAACGTACTTTATAATAATTAAATGGATATTAATACATATAGATACTCACGATATTATAAAACACTAAATTAAAAAGAAACATGGTTAATCAATGCATTAATTAATATTTACTGGACCTACAAGAGCCAGTCGTTAACAGGGGAATGGTCGGTAAGCGAACACATTGGGCTCTATGGAGGCGATTAGTCGTCAACAGGGGTGGTGGTTTAGAAGGTTTCTGCTGCATACTTATGTTGAACCTCTTTTCGCACCTGGACATAGCCAACCATGCCAATCGGAGGTTAGCGTGGTTGTCCACGCACTAACCCAGCGAGACGTTAATTTCATTCCCAGCCACGGCCAACTTCGAGTGTGAGAGACATCTTAGCTGGCCCTGGGGCCTTCACCTTCGCCGACCCACACTGACGAACGTGGTGAAGTATGTTCTAACAACCCCCGTTTCGGACACGGTTTAGGGCGGCCTTCATTTCACAGTGCTGTCAATTATTTAAAAAATGTTTGATTATAGCTGGATACAACATCCTAATTTGATTATCGGAGTGTGGTGAGGTTTTTGTTGTTGTCTACCCAACATAGAAATGTAACTGCACCTCCGATTAGCATAGTTGGCTACATACGACGCTAAAAGAAGTCCAACGTACACACGTAATTAATAGGTGCAACACGCTTGGCCAAGCATTTGTAGCCAGGAAACTGTGGACCCTCTATGTCTGTACGCAGGTTTACACCGTAGCCACGGCTGATCTAACACGATTTACACCTTCATCGCGACAGAGCATATTGCACTAAGTGATCAACCGTGAATTTAAATGGAGTTGACTGTGAAGTAGATTGCATAATCAAGGCATTCAACGGAAGGGAATGGTAAATCGTCTATAGTTTAACACCACTTAAGAGCGGTGATATTCCGTCAAGCCGAACACTGTGAACGAAACCTATGCTGGCTTATATTTGGTGTCAGTGGTAATGTGTTAGCATGCCCAACATACATCCCAAGCCTTTGCAGGCTTCAAGCATTTGCAGGCTTGAGATGTATGTATGTACGTTTAACTTCTTTCGTGCCATACATAGCCAACCGTGCTAGTCAGAGGTTGCAGGGATGTGTGGAACACTCGGCAAGTAATGTAAAGTCAAACACGAACACATTTCTGCCATTACAGGTGTTAATGTTCACATCCAAATACTGAACTGCAGTGCACAATGGTTAACTTGTGTCTGACAAGCGGTGGCCTCGTATAATATGATACGTTTAAAATAGTCATGATGAAGACAGACAGTGCAGCTGATTCCTGTTAATGCAAATGTACCACTGGTGCTCTACGTTACAAACAGAACGGGTTTTTTTTTTTAAACTTAGACAACTGCTATATGAGCCACCGCGTTATTATCCTACTCACGAGGTTCGGTAGAGTCGTCTATGTCTGTGCATACCAAACGACTCTACGTGAAAAACGAAAACTCTACAGAGGAAATGCCTGTAACACGTGAGCGGAGCCATACGGTCAATGTCTCGGAACACGTAGGAGCCCAGGAAGGAGAAGGCGATGACGGAGAGGGGCATGGCGCAGTCGGACAGGATCTCCCGCGCTTGCAGGTGCAGATATGGCCTGCAGCAAGGAGTTATAAATATAGTATGTTTCACGTCAAGGCAGGGTTGTCAAAAGGAAATTTGCCTCAAGCTTTTGTAACACCTCAAAATATGTACAAAATTGATTTGAAGCTTTCGTGACTGCAGGAATTCGTGACTCTCTAGTTCTTTCAGTAAAGTCGCGTGGGTAGAAAATAATAATACAAGAAAACACAACGTTTCGGTGGCAACACAAGCGTCCGTCGTCAGGTGAGAAAAAAATGATCTGCTGTTGTAGCTTTATATAGATACGGGAGAGGGGAGGGAAGGAGTTTGGCTGTAGGAGTTCTCAGGGCAGAGGAGTGGAGGGTTTGTGGCGAGCATGGACAGGTGGGGCTGGAGAAATTAGCAACTAAAATGGAATAATTTTTCCGGATCCACCCATCCATGCACGCCACAAACCCTCCACTCCTCTCCCCCTGTGAACTCCCACAGCCAAACTCCTTCCCCCCCCCCGTGCCTATATAGAGCCACAACAGCAGATCATTATTCCTCACCTGAAGACGGATACTTGTGTTGCGACCGAAACGTCGTGTTTTTTTAAATAATTTTTTCTATATACGTGACTTGACCGAAAGAACCAGAGAGTATGTACAACATTGTAGGGTCACACTTTTAACAATACATAGGCATAACTGCAGATATATAAGCCACTTCGTCAGGGTACCATTTATGGCCAAATCACTTCTGAAAAATAGATAGCTCAGTGGGCCTTACTTGGTAAAATAGTTTAGTTTAATGACAGATCTGTAGCCATGGAACGGAATGCACACAAGATTACATCCACGGAGGAGATGAAACAATGAAATCAGGTCGTGCGCAGGTGCTGGATGGCAGGATTGTGAGAGATTGTGGCAGTTTGGGGAGGCCTTCATCCATTAGTGGATTGATCATGGCTGCTACTGCTGCTGATGATCTTGACAATCGATTACCACTCCACCACTTTGACTGCTAATGAACAACCAAGGATGTCCACTTACCAAACTACTACAAACTAAATCACACAGCGTGGAGAGCCATCTCATAGTTGTGACGTGTTTCGTCGAACCAACGAATGCCAAAAGTCCATCGCACTCTCGCGGGCCTCGGGGGCCATTGCACAACTTTGCGGGGGCCACGTCATGGGAGAGATGGGGGGGGGCCCGAGAGATTGGGGGGGGGGGCACCGAGAGATGGGTGGGTTGCTCACCGCTTGCGGAATTGGTAAAGAGTGCTCCCAAGCCACACTGTGCCCAGCATGAGGAGCAGGGCCAGGAGGGCCACGTCACGGCTGCCCTTGGGGCCGCCCGAGTCCACCCCGGCGGCGCCTTCCCAGCTGCCATCGCTCGTGTTGTTCCCCGCAGAACCGCAGCCTCCCGGCTCCCCGGGCAGATAGTTCTGCTTGAAGACTTCACGGACACGCGGACGACGAGGACACAACGGGAGCTTTGGTTGGGAAAGCCGTATCGGAAAGGGTCGCCCTCGTTACACGCAGAGCGCTTGCCACGAATTAACCACAATAGTAACCTTGCCGATCTCGTCAAGGAGCATAAACCATCATGCGGACTGCAGTCATCCTTGCAGCAGCAGCGGCGGCTTTTGGCCGGCCATCGAACAAAGACGGTCACCGCATCGCGCGCTTTCAGATTCGCTTCTGCGGCCGTCTGGATCGTTCTTCCTTCCAATATTAGGCCACTGGAGCTGTACGCTTTTAAATCTAGATTGAAAACTCACTTCTTTAGAACTGGTTTTTGGTGTTTAGTTTGTCGTCGTTCCCCCGCACCTCCGATTAGCACGGTTGGTTACGTGCGGTGTGAAAGAACTTTGACATACATCGACAGCAGCACCTGCGTTTAGCGGTTCTGCTCTTGCTACACTCGTGTGTCATGACAGAAGTTTCAGAACGGTTTCGGGCAGAAATGCAACAGTCGCTTGTAATGTTAATTGATAAATCATTACCACAGTGATACAATGAAAATTTGCGGTAAAACCAACTTTGCAATGTTAAATTAGTACCGAATAATTGACCTTATGGTTCTCCAAATTGTCAGCTTTTTTGTATTTACCATTACAAAAACGTGGAAATTAAGACAAGTAGTGAACTCAAAGCGTGCGATGAGAAAGAGCGGATATTATGACTTGCATTCCTAAAATATGGCCATCAGCGGCACATGTGAAAAACGGCGAGAAAAATGAAATGTACTGTGGGCAGCAATCAGGTCACAGCATGAGAATATATAATCTAGGTTGTGATGTGAATGCTCGTGCTCACGGAGTGCGGAAGATTAGTTGCCTATCTGTTCTGCTGTCGTATGTGTTTTTTTAAGTACCGTATTACAATCAATGCAATTGCAAAGATAAAAAAACAGAATCAGACCGACACACGACCGCTGCCTCAAGTGCATGCAAACGGGAGAGGTTGGAGCAAAAAGATAAATTACAAATTATTTTAGCCAGCGAACTCGTTGTAACCGCATTAACGTAAAAGATCATTTAATTCCTAAACTCTTTGTAAGCCTACACATGTATTACCAGTCCGTAGCTTTATTTTTGTACACGCTACATTTCTTAGAAAATGTATCTCCTACAGCTTTTTAAGCACCTCCGATTAGGACGGATGGCTAGGTACTGTGCAAAAGTTCAACATGCGTACGTACACTGTTTTCCATGACGGTTTTGTTTTGAATGCGGATGTGCAATTGTAGTCAGGCAATAGAGCACAACGTACTCTTAATGATATCCTTGATTGCGTCCACCACAAAGGCGATGGAGATGAAGAGTGCAAATATCTCTTCAATAGATCTGCAAGAGAGCCAACACGTTTGCATGTTTATACGACAGAAAGAATATACAACCACAATGCGCTATGATGCATATGTGCGCGGATATTGTGGGTGTGATTGATATGTTCCAAACAGCAGTGGTTTTCAAATTTCTGAGAATGACCTTGTCCTTGGCCACAAATTGCTACTCAAATGTACCCACCAACAGGGCCAGCAAACTATAATTGTTTCGAAGGTCGGACAGCTGCAAATTCAAATGCCTATATTTCTCGACAGAAAACATTTATATTTGATATATATTTAAATGTAAGCTCTTAGGTCATGCTTCAGCTGAACACGTACCAGGAAATATCCAGAGCGCTCTGGAAAAAAAAGTTAAGATTTTTTTTAAATCACAGAAATTACGTCCTTCTCTAAGACTCACCGCTTGGAGAGGTGCAGGCGTGTGCTCATGTGCAGCAGGGCGTAGAGTGTCAGGAAGAAGCTGTTCCAGAGGCCGATGCAGGCGTAGTACGCGTGAAAGTCCAGTTCAAACTCATCGCAAATTGTCCGGATCGCTGCATCAAATACGGCCAAGGGGGAAACGCAAAGTACAATTGTCTCTCAAAGGACACCCCGAGGGACAACTCGTGTCACTATAACACGTAGGCTTTCGTGACCAATATTATCCAGAACAATTATTATTATGATTATCCATATTAGCCTTAAGAGGTTTTTTTGGGTGAGATTTACGCCATCCAACCCAAAAACTTCTATTACCGTTTCGCTATTTTGATCGCGATTATGCCATTTTTTTTTTCAGAAGCTCGGCCGTTTTCACATCAAAATTGGTATCCATTCCACATTTGCGCAATTCGCTTGGACCTTAATTCCACAAGGGCAACAAAGGCAGCCCCCCCCCACTACCGCCCTTCCTCAACGGGGAGCCGCTAGGGTGGCCCGTCAGTGGGGGGGACAAGAGTGGGTTTAGGATGGAGCCTACTTCGTGCTGAAAAGGTCTATGCTCAATTGTGGAAGGTTTCAACCATCATGCGTAATCGCATCAAAGGGTGAGAGGGTAGCGATGGCCCATTCCACCTTAATTCACGTGCACGTTAGTTGCCTCTGTTCCACTACACGTTGTGGAATGTTTGCATTACATTTACAAAGGGCATTACTTGCTGCTCTAATCAGGGCAGAAACAAGCACGAACAAAAAGCGATGACGAATGTGAAGACAATTATGATGATGACGCTCGTTTACCCGGCTAGGACTTCTATGCAAATTAAAATCGAGCGAATAGTGGGGACATTGTCAAATGATGAAAATTCGTGACCATGACGCCAGCACAAATGGTCTTACTCTTGCGAATTACATCACAGGACCGATAACATGGCCACTGTGAAGCAGACTGCGTGTATCTTTACAGTTAATACAGACGCAGCATTAAATGAGGGCAGCCGCTGGATTCGAACCGTGAACATTGGCGACAATCGGCGAACGCGCTTCTGCTCGACCGTGTCAATGCCTCGTCATCTGATAAAACGACGACAATAATGTTGAAGAAGAAGGTTATGATCAGGATGATGGTGATTATGTTGAGGATGGTGATGCGTAGAATGACAATGATGATGTCGCTGTTACTGCTACGCCGGGAGATAGAAGCGGTTGACCTTTGGATTATAAATGCAGTGGGCTCACCATTACAATAAAAGTTTTTTTGGGTTGTTAAACCCGCCACCACCTGACAGCCAATTAGTCAGGTTAACCTTTCTTTGTTGCTCTAACCAGGGCAGAAACTGCTCACCGTACGAATTGTCTGTCGGGTGGTGGCGGGTTTAACACCACATTTATATTTACGCGATCCAACCCAAAAACAATTTCCATTGCGGATAAATATTGACCGCGAAAGCCCACCACGTGTTAATGTCTCCGTTACAACAACTCGGCGGCATCCGAATGATTCAGACTCACCATATATGTACAGGGCGAGAGGCGCAGTGGTGAGCAGAACAATGAGAGGCTGTCCCGACAGAACCGCAAACAGCACTCCTCCCATGCTCTGCGCCACGAGTGTCTTCTGGACGTCTGTGGGAGACAAGGGAATGGCCAGACACATCCCCAAGAAGGAGGAGGGCAGTGGTTCGTCTCTAATGAACGTGGCAAGGTCAAAGAACAAGTCAGAAGGGGGCGCGCTGAGATGGTGTTGGCCATGGATAATAGGTGCAGTGGGCAAAACCCCATAAAATGAATTTGCTGAAATAGGGGACCACCGTGCCGTCCAGTTTAAAAAAAAAGTCACTCCGGAATGTACGATGCACCCCCACAATTTTGTACCCAGTGCCAATGGAGTTCAGCTAATCTGGTCAAAGACAAATATCCCTCTCGTACGGCCTGAACAGACTGTTGGGGCAAGTGTTTTCAGGGAGCAATTTTGAAGGCCGGCACGCCACACGAGGAGGTGGGTGGGTGGCCAGAACCACGCTCGTCTATCTTCGTCTCCCCCTAGTGACGATGTTTACACACCGCACCAAGTACTCATTTGAGGCAGAGTCGGCCTACGGGAGGGGCCTAGGACCGGTCCAATTTTCGCCACTGTTATTGGTTGTTTGAGGTTGACGGGTTGGTAGTGCAGTGCACTAACCGTTGCCCCACAGTTCCACACTAATATGGTCACACACACAAACACTGGAGAAGATGTACTACGTGCTTATGCTTGTGGTCTGGAGAATACGGTAGTGGAATAAGGTGTCAATCCCCAAGTGGTTCCATAGAGATATCTGTTACACCAACCCCTTCGATTTTACATCAAGATGACAAATCAATGCTACAATAGCAAACCTCGGCAAGTATTACCAACAAGTATTTGCCTCTTCATATTGCGCTGCATAAATGAATGCTGATCTAATAAATTATTCACGACTGTAATATAAACGTTCACCGTACAATTTAATCTGCAGATTTGTAGAAACATTTTTAGCACGTCCTCCAAATAAATTATTACAGAATTATTTTGTACCCATACACCAACATACCAAAACAGTTTTTTTTGTAATTGAAAAGCTTGAAACATGTACGTACGAATAAAAGTATTACACACCGTACGTAGCCAAGCGTGCAAATTGGAGGTATGGAGGAAGAACAAAACCAAACACAAAAATGAATTCTAAAAAAACTAGTTTTTAATCTAGATGATGTAAAAGTGCATGGCGCCAGTGCGCGATGCAGTGACCATCTTCGTTCGATTACCGTGCAAACCTGCCAAGATGCGGCGATAGATTATTCATGTTTTACACGTGCACACAATACCGCCTCTCTCGCTCCTCGTTGCTCGCCAGCACGGCGATGCGGTGCTGCCTACCGATCGCTCCTCTCGTGTTGATGTCGTTGAGCGATCCGAACGCGATGGAGGGCAGCAGGCAGGCGAAGTACAGGAATATCATGGCGATGATGTACTTTCCAATGCACCGGTTTCTAAGAATCCCTGTCAAATACAAGGTTTGCAAGGTTTATAAACTGTACTACCTCGTGCGTTCAAAGTATATTCTTCATTCGAATGCATTTACACCTGAGATTTTTTTTGTTTTGTTTTACATACAGAGCAAAAAGAGTCGTTTGACACCTCAACATGATGCACCGCAAAGACCTATTAGACCTCACCCATTAGTTAGCCGGCTCATCATTAGCCCGAAGCTGGAACCGCACTATACGGAGAAAAAAAATATAACGGCGCAATGCCCAGGATTACTTTCATTTGTGTCTACATGCGACGTGACATCATCGTACCAATTCCATCCCACTTCACCAATTGTCCCTGCAGCTGCGAGATCCATAACGAATGGTGTCATCGCAATAGTTGCACCGAGCTTCTTTGCAACCAGAAATCCCATGGCTGCAGTGCTGCCTAACACCGTGGCCATAATCTACAGACCTGGCTCAGAGAAAGATGTTGCAGGTGCACGGATTCTCCCATGAAGAGAACATGTGACGGGCAAGGTTAGTGGGGGTTTTTTTTAAACGTCACATTTTCTATCATCTCATCCCTGCACAATAGCGGCGTGATCCGAAGCTTTAAAAAAACCAAAATCTTCTCGCAGGTCTCTATCATCATCGAGTAAAATTTATAAAGTGTGCTCAAAGACAAGAATGGTGGATTTCTCCACAATTCTGGCTGTCGCCTGACGATGCTGGTTGTAATTACCGGCGAAACGACACGGTACTCGAATTGTAAATGTTGTGGGTTTACTCTCCAACACACCGATGTGCTGAACTAGTAACTCACCGGTACGTTTTGTTTAAGTGACAAACCTGATTGGCCGTCGGGTGGTGGGCGGGTTTAACGACACATTTATATTTTCGCTATCCAACCCAAAAAAAAACCCACCCCTCGACTATAGTGCATACCTGTCCGCCAGCACTTGAGGCAATTACTTGATGGCTCACAGATGGCAATAAAGCCAATGTGTTCATGAGCCAGTGCGGACCTTTTCAGTCATGGCAGTGCACCATGGGGAGCAGGGGGCTGTTGGCCTTCTATTTGGCACTAAAACTCCATGGCGGCAATAGAGGCGGTGGACGGGGGTAGGAGGAATTAATTGAATTGTATGAATGCGCATGTTTTATGGTTTGAAAACCCTGTTACATACATTTTGAAAACAGTGGTGCCACCCACGCTTTGAGCAATGTCCCCGGCTATGGAAACGGATTTTCTCCAGGTAATTGGCTCTCTCTTACAAAGCGAAACACTCACAAATGGAAATGGCCAAACATCGCAATGCAGAACCCTCATGAAAGCGTCCAGCTCAGCGAGGCTTTCTTGAGGGTGGTTTGCCAATCTGATTAACTGCATTATTCTGCAGAAAACTCCGTGTCCATGTGGGCAATCATGGATAAAGACTTGCTGCTCGAGCGTATTGTGCCATGCTATAATCACTCGTCGTCGTCATCATCACCCCCAGCACTAGCATTAGCGTCATCACCATCATCTATTATCAATCCACTATTGGACGAAGATTTCCCCCCTCCCCCCCCCCATGCTGTCACAGTCCCTCACAGACTTGCGATGCTAAAAATCTATCTCGTTCCCGTAAACTGATCTAATCCCTCAATCACAGCGGTTGTCATCCTCGGAACATTTTCTTCATCGTCAAATGCTACACAAACCGAACCGCTGGGGACTTAGTCCACGCATGGCACGACAGCGAGCTCGAGCCAAGTCGGACAGAGTGCAGCAACAGTGCACATCAATGGCATAACCATCAATCCCTCAATCATTTATCACTCCATCAGTATCAATCCATTGCCATCAACTCCATCACCACCATTATTGCGCCCGTGTAATTGCAGGCCATGTTACGGCAAAAAATAAGTAGTCGTTATTATTCATGGTGGAAGGCTGCGGACGAACGCCGAGTAAGCAGAAGATTTGTTTGTGCCACTCGTATCCATTCAAAAGCCACGGGAACAAAAGTTTCCGGCAACGGCAATTTTTGCGCATGGCGGACTCAAGCCAAAAAAACCTCTATTACGGATAACAGGATTACCTTATAACAGCAGCAATCTGTCTGCGGATAATAGGAATGTCCGCAGAGAGATTCTGGCCACGGTTAACGGGGGTGTGCAGATTAAGAGGGTCAACGGATAAGAGGAGGGCTTGCGCTGTAGTACGAATCCCTACCCAGGCTCACCGGGGCGGGGGGCCTGGGAAACTCACCGTCCGTGAAGTCCGAGGAGTAGTATGGAAGCCTGCGACGGATGTCTTCCCAAATCCCCATTCCAGGAATAGTGCACACAATACTCCTCTCAGTCTGTGCACACACGAAAAGGACACGTGGTACACGTTAGTTTGTTGTCCTTCCCCCACACCGCCGATTAGCATGGGTGGCTGCGTAGGGTGCAAAAGAAGTTCAACATACATCAAGCACAAACTTATATTGTGTCTCCGACATCTAAGTCAGTGCCAGAGTTAAAGCGAACTGGGACGCCATATGGTGCATAAAGATTGTTTGATACCATCAACATTTCCTTATTTTATCTAATGGCCGTTTGCTAGAACATTCGTCCAAATTGAATATTTATTTTATGAACACACTTTTCATAATGTTGCATTAACTTTGACATGTTTTTTCACAGCTGTCTGCCAACAAACCTTCAACCCAACCAAAAACAGCATTGGGAAATCAAACGTACTAAAACACAGATAATCATATGCAGTTTTGCAAAGAAAACCACATTTATATTTGTTTCTACGTGAAAAATCACACTAAGGAAAAAAACATAAATTATATTTTTATTTTGGAGAATGGTCTGGGGTGGATATACAAGTAAATTAGGTCTTGTGTAGCATTTATTCACCAACAATCTTCATCTCTGCCAGGTGGCATAATCCCAATAAATAACATTAATATAACACCGCAGTGCCATGCATGACCAGGAATTGGAAACGCCTCTCCACCCTGTAAACAGCCATTACAAGGCATAGCATGTTGATAATTAACATTGTAACGAGCAACATGTGGACTTTTTTTGTTAACGCACCACACACTCACTCGTGAGTATTATGGAGTGGGGGAGGGGTAAGAACATCGCGTATATGGATCAAATATGGCTCCTAGCTTGGCCTGTGGCAAGAAAGTAACTCGAATCGTATGCATGGGCTGGAAGTAGCCATACCTGTCGACCCCTTATCAGTGTGTACCTTATTATGCATGGATCACCCTGCATATCAACATTGAACCTCTCTGCGGTTGCGAGAACATTTGCATATTGACATCCTTCTGTGTGTGCTGGAACGCGTGTAACTTTGGTTCAGCGCCACGTGAGATGTCGTCACCCTTGCCAGTAGCTTGGACGCAGGATTTCACGACCCGCATTACCGCTGCTCATACAACTGTTGCAGCGTTGTTCAAGTATGCGTGTAGGGAAACTGAAGTGTGATCGCGTGGCGCATTTACATGCCAAGCAATGTTCTGAAGTCACAATGAATGGTTGCCGTCTGGCCGTGTGAGTAGCATACCTGTCAACCCCTGATCAGTGCCCTACCTTATTAGACCAATTCAGACCTTATTAGTCACCCTGTTCCCATTATAAATCTCAACGTCCATCCTACAAAGTCCCATCGCAAGGGAGAAACACAAACAAATACTTTTTTTGCCCGTATTGAAACGGCCGTACGCCGTATGGACCTGAAAACTCAATTTCCCTGTACGAGAATACGGGCTAAACCGTGTGGGTTGACAGCAGAGGTCGCAATCGGGTACCCGATACCCATACCCTACCCGATACCCGGCTAGTCGGGTACGGGTACCCATTTGCGACCCTGGTGCGGCCGGGTACGGGTAAGGAATCAAAATCCGTTTGCGACCTCTGGTTGACAGCAATGAGTAACTCATGGGATCAAAAAACCACAAGGGGTGCAAGAGAGCAAGTATGGCACCAGACAACAAAAAAGTAGCCAAATCAGCACAGAAGTGGCCAGACGATTGCACCGAAAACTTGCTCATGTCTGGGAGCAAGTTTGTCCAATTAAAGTCACTTTAACAGGCGCCAAATTACAAATGTGCACTTGGTTTTACATTTTTTTTGCTCACATCCGGAAAGGAAAAGTGGCAAGTTTCACAACGCAACGTACCGTTGTTGGAGACTTGCAGTGGTGCTGCTGCCATCTTTGGGTTAAAGTAATTAACTGCTGATTCACCGAAATGGGCTTTTCAATGTCATTAAGATTTCCCCCACCCAAAGCGATCACATTAATCGTTCTCTCCCCAACATGCCAAAAAATAATACATATATATGTCTTCTACGGACGACTGTTGTTCCTCCGTCGTTGGTACGATCAACTTCAAGATTCAGGTGACAAATCAACCATCCTCTCACACGTCATTCCATCAGCAGGTTTGTGCAATTCCTATAAGCATATTTACACGCGGACCTAGGTTGGCATAACAATGAGCATGTGCACCGACCTTAAGAAATTAAAGGGAAATACAACCCAAAAAGCACAAATTGTGTGCATTGGTACCTCCCATGTCCCCCGAGTAGTCCAAAGTGAGCCCGAAAGCTTTGTTCGTAGACAAAAAGAACCTTGACAGTTATAATCATTAAAGCACTCGAGTGACATCTCTGCAATATCACTCCCATACATTTTCAGAACATCAATGAAGTGACATCACAAGGTCACGCAACGATGGCATATTGGAGCGTAACTATGAAAGTTTTTTTTTCTCTTCTCATTACCGGCGATTCAAATATTTGGTCAGGCATATAGGTGAAACGTTTACAATATATATTTTGTTGGCTTGCACCTTCCTTTTTTTGCAAGTATGTTAAACTTCTTTCGCACCGTACGTAGCCAACCGTGTTATTAGCTTCCGAAAGCACGTGATGCGCTTTCAGATGCTATATACACTACACCACTACACTTTTGGCTCACCACCGAACAAAGATGGTCACTGCTTCCTCGGTCACCTTACCGAGGACTTGCTGGAATCCTCTTGTTCCTGGAGAGATGGGCTGCCATCGGGCTGATCTGACTGCAAGGTTGCTTTGGGTCGCTCAAGCACGGGCGTGGGAATCCTGGAGTCCCCCTCCTCGTGCTGTGCCGTGAGGTCGTGTCGCCGGAGAAGGAGGGCGTGCTTGAACTCTTCGGGCGAGCGAGCCTCAATAAGTCGCTGACGGAACCCAATGTCCACGAAGATGGTTGCGAAAGTGCGGCCCACCTCAGTCGCTGTCTTGGTGCTTTTCTGCATTCAGACAGCCGCAAATAAAAATGTGCACTTCGTGCATACGCGACAAAACATTTACAGATCACAGGGCTTTTGTGAAACCGTCACGCGTTCATTTACCGACGCATTCGGAGAGAACTGCCGAATTTCTGTGCAAAGTTTACTAAACTGAGATGGCAGATTCACGACGGTGTGAACTCAAAACAATGCGACTACGAAAAAGACATCCTCCGAAGCTCCCAGACAACAGCTCTCATGTTTCATAAAGCCTGCTGCTGAATACACACGCGCACGTGCGCGCAGGTGCACGCAACTAATGGATACAGGGCGAAATGGATTAATTCAATTTGTCCAGGGTTTATTTTGTATTGAGCAGCGCAATCCTGTTTTTTTCAGATTACTGCAGAACAAACAAACCCCTGGCTTCATAGTAAGAAAGCAAAACACCATGGAGAAGACGACAAAAAGCACGAGTAACTTAACAACTGGTAGAATTTATATCCACTATCAAAATTGCATGCGGTTCGACAACAAGGCCATATTCTGGTGTAAAAAAAAAAAATTTGATGTAGCCAACCTACCGACTTTGGTGGGGCAAGAACCAGGATAACAAAGCGCACTTCACAGCAGTTCTCTCCCCAGTTCTGTGCCCTTTCCAGTCGAGCGATGCACACTTCCCGGTGCTGCAGTGTCATCTCCGTGCACCTTCAAAAAGCAGAAGCGCAAAAATTCCCACCCGTCAAGATCGCACACACGGGGGCGACCCGTTCAGACTTGTGTTATGAGAATAATGGCAGCGGGCTTTGTTGACCAGACTCCTGAGGCTTCAGGGAAATGTGCAAGTTTTTTTTTTTTAGACCACAGTAACTTCAGGAGGCCTAACAGGGCCTTGGCGTACACCTATTCGGGCGACTTCACATCCGTGGCAGGCCGGAAAATTAATGCCGTGTGCTCGACCAAATAACTGCTAAATTAGTCCACCAGCAGTTCTCCACATTAACCTTGTGCCTCGTTGTTAAAACTGTGCGCGAAAGCGCACACGCACGCAAAAAGAGACATGTCGACATTCACCGCAGCATGGCAAGAGCGGAACGCACGCAGTGAACTAGGATAAGAGGCTTCCTCAAGGCTAATAACCATGTTGTATATGTATATAGTATTCCTATAATGCCTAACGAGCAGCTAATCTGTCAATTTGTAGGTATGTGTCTTTGTCCAAAGAACCCCTCCTGGACCTCTCTACCAAATTCAAATGAACGAGGTGTCCGTAGAATGTTCGTGTTAGGCAGGTTATGTGAACGGTGCCAATATACTTTTTTTCTACTACGAATATGATCATTCAGTTTGGTAGTCATAGAAATGCTTGTCCACTCAATCGTTTATGATAGCGTGGTGTACAATGTGAGCTCCACAGCCCCATTTCAAAACACTGGTAGGAACCTCCTGGTTACACCAGCCCACAGGGGATTATTGTGTCCGTCCGTCCGTCGTGCATCCAAAAATGGGAGGGGTGGGGCTGGGTGGGGAGGGCGGGGAGGGGTTGGTCACCCCGTGGTGCCCTTATAAAACTCAACGTTTAACCTACTCACACCGGCTTGTGCCCGCCCTCACAGGCGGGCATATTTGCGGAACACACCACGCCGCCGTTGACCCTGGCCATTGACCGAGCAACCCAATGTTCCTACCAGCTCCCTCCGCAGGAATGTGTTATACTCCAAAAATTGGTGAGGGCCAGGTGTGATTGTTGGTGAATGGTGTCAGGTGTATCACATCACCCCATCCATAGCACAGGCTGCCCATGAGCATGCAATGATATATACAGTACTGTGCACATATATACTATATTCGATTTTGACTTGTTTGCATTTGTTCACAAGGGCAAGAAACATTCAGCCTCGAGCCGTTTCACAAGAATGACCCGCGAAGAACCTTTGTAAAAACAAAGTAAGTTACAGGAGAGAATACATCATAACGATGTAGACAGCGAGGAGCAAACACATTGAAGAAGAACCACATTCAAGTTATGCGCCACTCAAGTCTAAATAGGTTTTCTGATTCTGAAGTAACACGTCAGGCGATGCACATCAACACCGAAGCACCAAGCCGCGCCAACCTCCGTTAACCACGTGTGCAGGGGACGTAGAGCGCATCAGAAATGCAACACCGACTCGCGCGCCCTTCGCTCACCACATGTGGAGGAACAGGGATGTATTACATCACGGGAGGAATTTAAAATGGGCCGCGGTAGGAGGAGTTGGTGCCGAAACTGCGGAGCGAGCTCGTTCCTAAAGTGAGGGGCGGCAGCGTGAAATTAAAAAATTTTCCCCCACCGGTGCTCGGACTCACTCTGGGTACACTCAGCAGAAGTCGAGAGGCAGTTAAGGCAGAGTGACAAGGCCCGGAGTGAAATGCAGTCACGGAGGTAATTATTAACGGATCTGTATCTTGGGGAGTATTTTTTTTTAGGATGGCACAGGTGGAACAAGCGTTTCAGGACGGTCTCCGAGGCCGGTCTGTAGATTACTTCACAGGAGTCAAACACAGACAATGGTAGCTTTGACAATCTCCAGTCAGAGACGGAGCGGAATATCAAATGGTTGTTTCTGGAGAGAAATATATATATTTTTTATTAGAAATATGTTCTATACGTACCTGGAAAGAGATTTTGTAATTAAGGATAACATCCATATATATTAAATTGTCAAAAAAAAATTTTCCTGAGAGTCCAAAGACAATTTTCAAGTGGAGAAAGGGGGCAGGTGTGCGTCGCCTACAAAACAACATTCATTTCGTTTTATTTGCGTTGCGGACAAGTCTAAAGGACGGCCAACTCTAATGACAGGGATTCAAAAACCCTGTTGGAGTTGGCAGTAATGATCGTGCAAAGGTTTATATCCGAGTGGATCAGAAATTTGCTTAGGCCGTTGACACAGTCAGAACAAAGTGGTGCCTAGGACGTTGCCTCGAGGTGAAACACCCTTCACGCGACGGCAGTTTTATCAGATGAAATGTTGTCCACAGAAACAAGCTGAAAATGGTTAGATAGACGTAACAAGAGACCAAAGATTATTGCCAGGTTGGAGAAGTTGAAGCATGCCAATCTACCGAGTTAGGATGCCGTGGTATACAGTATCAACAGCCTTGGAGAGGCCCAGGAAGAGAATGATGACCCACCATGCTCATCATCAAGACTGCTGAAGCCAAAGTCGAGCGTAGAGCACACCGCCAAAGTCACGCTGTAATTTCTCGCGAAAGCCAAAATTGTTTGGGATGCAGCGGATTGTTTGATCGGACGTAGTGGATGATTTGCACTGCGAGTAAATAACTTCTCAAAACATGTTGATGAGAGGGGAAAGGAGTGAAATGGGGGTGATGGTTGTTTGGATCATCTGTGGCAACCCCCCCCCCCCCCATTTGCGGAGAGGGGGCAAACAAATTCATAGGGAACATTGGCTTCCTCTAAGTCAGAAGAGGTGTCAAGCGAAGAATTTTGGTTAAACGTGTCCGAATCGGGAGATAAGGGAGGAATTTGAATTCCCCGAATCCCTCCAAGGTTGCTAAATGCTGAAGGCTGGGAGGCTGCATATCAGGAGCGGGGCTGGGTTGGTACGAGCTGTTGAAGATATGGCCAGCAGAGGCAGATGTTGCGAGTATATTCTCTCGTGATAAGCAGCGTTGTCTCGTGTTGTGCCTGCTCCCCCCGACTCACAGCACGCAGAGCCACGACTGCTGGTAGTGAAGGCCCGATGGGTTGACCGTTACAGCCTGGATTGTCTCAGAGAGCAGGTGCACTGTGCAGGAATAGTCACACACACACACACACAGAACATCACAACGTTAACACCACAACACTCGTTAAGTTGTATTTTGGTCCTCTGATGCGTTTCAGGGTTGTACCGCGTGTTGTTCGGCACTGTATGCATGTCGGACTTTTTTCGCCCTGTACATAGCCAACTATGTTAAGCGTCAGACGTTTCGCTCCAAGGGCTGGGGATTTCAGTTCACCCTTTCTCGAAGAAGCTCCCAATTACCAGTTCTTCAGTCGCTGAAAAAGCTCCCATCAGATTAAGCGAAATGTCAGACATCATGCAGAACATCAAGCGGTGAAACGTGAACGCACATCGAACAGCAGCGGACGCAGCAAAACTAAAAAAAAACCTGCACACGTGATTTGATTTTAATCTGTGGCATGAAAATAACCTGCAAGCAGTGCTTACTCATTATCCCTTACATATGCATATTATAGATAAATATATGCCAAATGTCAACATCCCCTGCACTTGCATGTGTAAAAAGGCTTTCATGGCTCATTAAAAAGATAACCAGTGTACTTTAATAAAAAATATAGGTTTCTAAAGAATTTAATTGGGGACTGTATTAAGTGCATTGACCGTGGTATAGGATCACATTTATGAAAACCAAAGTATACAACGTGAAAACGTTATGCCAAATCGAGATGACACACCCAAAATAAACCCTGAAAAATGCTGCGATTATCTTTCAAGAGCCTTCGTAATATGTTTTGTAAAACACGCATTATCCATCTTTCGACGACACATTTCAAGTTGATGACAATTACAGTAGAAGTTTGTTTTATGTATTCACTACGGCTCATTTGGGGTGATTGCACCACAATGTGAAATATATTTTTTTAAATGTTAACATCCTTCTCTGCATCAAAAAGCCAGAGGCTACTTCAATTCACATGCTCATATTTTTTTCACTCATTACACAACTCCCAAGAGTATCAGGTAACCGTCAGACCTACTTCTGTTGGCACTGCTCTTGAGCATCACCGAAACGAAACCAACACCACTTTAGTATGTACAGTACAGATATGGGCATCCCCGCACCTCCGTATGGCGCGGTTGGCCACGTATGGTGCAAAAGAAGTTCAACATGAATACGTGTGTACAACGTACTACTACTAACTTATGAATGTAATCGGTCTTGATAAAAAAAAAAGTGGGGGAATTAGCTATGGTCATGTGGTAAAAATCGATGGTGAAATATTTTCTTAATTCAAATTTCAAAGATAAAACGTTGAGATTAATATACAAGGGAATACTGATAATGTGACATTGATACATTTTATCCGGGTAAACGTTACAACATGAGCATAGATAACCAATGACTAATGTGCACCAAATTAAGGTTTAAATTCAGATATTGTAAACATAACGAAATAATCGTATCAGATATTACCGTGTTATTATATTTAAAAGTAAAATATTGTTTTAAAATTAAGTGTGCGTACGCAAGTTAAGGGTGGATACATCTTAAAAAGGTGTAATAATATGCTTAGCAGTGGTAATTAAAATACGAGAACTGATTGAGTCGTATTGGGAATCTAACCGGTTACAATCTGACGGCGCTCGGTAAAATAACTTCTCGTAAACCTTATGGATAAAAACTAACCAATAGAGTCTAGAAAAAACTTGCCATACATGTTGCAATTATATTCACCAAATTAGGCAAGAGAGCAGATATCTTGCTGGACTATTCTACATTAGCTCTGCAAAAGCATAAAAACAACGTGAGATTAATAAAGTCCTGGACATTTGTACAAGAAACCAAGTTTGAAGCTGCACGTTTTAACCAGATTGTCAATGTGATGGTCACTACCTAAACATCTTTCCTTAGATCTACATTCTTGGAGATGCGCACCGTTTATAAACAAACTTAAGTCACAGGACCGAAAATTTTAAGTAAAATTTCGAGTACGGATTCTAGGCAATTTGAGAATTCCTTTATGTGTTTTTTAAATAGTTGGAAAATTTGTGAAATCTGAATATAATTTACATTGCAGCTGCGAAATCAACGTCAAAGCAATGCACGACATGCATCCAATTGCAATGTACCAAATAGCAGTGGAACATTTCAACTCAACCACGTGTACATTTATTGCACGGCTGACAAGCAAGCCACTTGGGCATTTTCCTCCCGGCAGCATTCAATTCCAACGCAAACAGAAGCCACCAACCAGTTCCATGAAGAGAAGCCTGGGCCATGTCCGTGAAGAGCGCTCGCTTGAGGAGGGAGCAGCGTGCATCGCGGAGCTCGGCACACGCGCTATCTTCCAGCACGCTCTCCAGCATGTGGCACAGCGTCGACTCCAACGATCGCGACGGAAGATCGAGCAGCACGGCCGCCTGGCTAAGGAAGCGGTCCACGTCCCGACCTGCGCGGACTTCTTCCGAAAAGTTTTTGATTTTCACGCTCTGCGGACCACAGGCATTTGGTAGCGAGCATTAGAGCACGCCACGCAAGTAGAATTGCTAGATTTCTGGTGCGCTCCACAGAACGTATTGCTTCTTATTCTTAGTGTGCAATGTCAATTTTTTTAGTCCTAATTGCTCTCCGTTCCACGCCAATTCGAGGTCCACGCCGCATTTCCGGATATCCTACTCGACATTTATCCACCTTTTCCTAGTGCTTCCCTATTGCCCTATCTTTTAACTCCATGTTCTGCACTCTCTTGCAAATGTAAATCTGCATTTCTTCTCCCCACATGTAAAAGCATCTCATATGATACTTCATTTTCTCTGTAATGGGTACCACTTACACCGAGGTATCCCTTATTGCATTATGGTCTCGATTATTGCCGACAACTACTTCATGAAAATCATGGGCAAATTATATAACAGATACTGATCATGTATGGATGTATGTCGAACTTCATTTGCACAGTACGTAGTGAACCGTGCTAAATCGGAGGTGCGGGGAAAGAAAACAAACCAAACAAAAAACACGTATACTTCACACATTAGGTTATTAAATAATGTAATGTAAAGGCCTGCTGTTGTGCAGACTGTTAGCTGCACCTACAATGCGTTTCACTTGAGAAAACACTTCTGGATTCAAGGCAACCAATCAATGTCTTTATGCAGTACTTACAAACAGAAGAAGCGTTGCGTTTTGCATGCATGGTATTTTAGTAATATAGGTTATGGACCATGCCTAGTGACAATTGATTTCATTTATAGACCCAAACAACTTGTAATGCACACGGTATTCGCTCCATCAAGAGGAGAGAGAAGACTCCAAGGAGGCGCAAAGAACCACAGGCGTGCGGGGAAGGCAGCGCCGCAGTGAGCCGGTGCCAACAATTGCCCAAGTTCTGCGATCCTCAATATATGAAGGTGTTATCGGCCAATTAACAAGTGTTTAGACATGCGAGGAAACCGGAGCACCTGGAGAAAACCCACACACGCACGCGAGGGGGAAAACACTCGATCCCATACAAACGGAACAGGCGGAGTACCACGTTCCCCGTACCGCAATCGACTGGTGAGACAGGGTACGGAGTCTCGATTTTCACATCAAAGCAGGTGGTGTTAAGATGTTCAAACACCAAATAGAAACTTTTTGCAAGGAATCATGTCTGCATTAACCACACGTAGTTGTGGTGAACATGCAAAAAAACACCTTCTGATAATATATGGATTGTCCTTGAAACTGATTGGTCTACACTAGAGACAGCCTTATTTAGGGCCTAGTCTTATCAGTGTAAACATCTTAACGGATTTATTGCCAGAAAGGGTAAAACCTATTCTTATTTTTTCATACTTTGATACTGGGAAAAAAAGGTCCCATTTTGATTTTCACATCATTTGTGCGATCCACCAAACTCTTGCTTTCACAGTGCAGGGGTCACAGGCGCACACAACGACCAATGCCCAAAAATTGGTGTTTATAAATGAGCTGATATTTGGATTTATTTAACTGGAGTACTATTCTATATATTGCAACCACTACTCATACCAATTATGTGCATGAGAAGGTACAGTACCTTTCTGGAAGTGCACAGGAGAGATACATCTTCGGCTTCTATAAATACACACAAACAATATACAGTATCACATTACAATTCCATAAAACGATGTTGCATACATGTGCACACTTGCTGCTTTGCCCTTGTGTATGTTGCCTGAATGCAGGAGCAAACATGGTAAACTGGCCAGGAGGAGAATTCCAACTGCTGGCTTGCATGACGCAATAATTTACTTGGGAGAATTGATCACAATTGACCAAATCTTCAGATTCAATGGAAGAACTCGACTGAATGTGGGGCAGGAAAATGCTCCACTGTTTGAACCGTCGGGCCAGGAAAAACGAATCGGCGACCTGCGCAGTGCAGGTCCAGAGTGCCAACCATTACATCACGGCAGCATCTGTAGTCAACTAAAAAAAGAATGTGTCTACATACGTGGCGCCATTCTGGCACAAATCTGCCACAGAAAGTGCCGTCATCACATTAATACTCAACATAAACTGTGAAACTTCCATTATGTTATATATATACTATCTATGATTATAATATGGCACAGGGAGAATTACATTAAAAAAATCATAATCTTTATTTATCCTGGAGAAATCCGATGAGCTAAGAAGCTCTTTTCCCACAGATGTCCAGTAGGGGCAGGTGAGAACAATACAACAAACAATACAAAAAACAATACAAAATGTTCGCCGACTGAACGCGGGTACAAATTGCTCGAGCGTGGTCAAAAGTACTGACCAGTCGACTGGCTGAGGTCAAGCGGGTTCGGACACAGGACGGTGAAGCTGATGCTCGGACGAGCACCACCAACAGTGATGCTGATGCTGGGCCGACCGCCGCCAGTACGCCGGGTGACCTCTTTCCTCTCCGGCTCCTCTTCGGGGATGCACGGGCCCATGAACTCGTTCTCCAGCTCCATCTCTACGGTGTCTACGGCGCGCAAGCAGAAACAACACCGGCGGATTGTTATTTGTGCGCGCTTCTACGTATTCACGCAACGCTTTTCTCTCCATTCCCATTCGTGGAATTTGTGCGTGGAATATACGCTGCGGCACTGTACACATGAAAACGTACGGTCGATGTGGTATCACAGCTTCAGTGTTTCCTGTTGGGGAATTGGTGGTGTAGGTGGTGCGCTATGAGCCAAGTAAGAGGAGTTCAATTCCTAGCTATTGATAACAGGTCCCATATCTCCACTCAGCCTCTCCTTAACCGAACCCCATTGACTTGTATGGTGAAGTATGGTCAAACAACCCCCCCAAATGACGTGTGCAGTCCTTCATCCAGCAGTAGATTTAAACAAAGTCACGTTAACTTAAGAGGACTCTTTATAAGATGAAAGCTTATGTTGTATTTGTTATCTAGACGTGTTAACAATGAGACATCTGTAAACCTTTGAAGTAAATATTTTCAAACTGCAGATCTTGCAGTGAGCAACAAATAAATTTTCACGCGTACCAAATCAACACAAGCGTACAAAGTATTATTCCATACTCGAAAGTACTGGTCAGCATGGTATTATGGATCCATATACCGCTGGGAGACATCAAGACACGGCCTGAATGCTTGCCATGGGAATCTGTGTACTCGGATGCATCAACACATTTGAAAAATACAGTGCTTGTACGTAACAATCAATACTGTGTACGATGTTTAAATAATAGAGCCCAAAACAGAATCTACGCATAACTGCAATGTCTTACTTATAAAACGATGTAATACGCATTTCTACAGCAATAGGAAACTACTGTACTCTCGACATTTATTAAAATGGCAACTAAATAAGCAGTGCTTAAATTTATAGGCTAAGATCTTTGCAAAAGGTGCATGTTCAACGAGTAGGGCGTTTCGCAAAAAATAAAACGGACACATGTACAGAAATTAACCTATTCCCTTTCCAGTCGTGAGCAAAACCTGCAATTCGTGGATTAATGCAGGACCGCGTCTTCGCCTGTAATCCCCCGCACACCGCGGAGGATGGAAAACACGTTACTGACGGACAGACCGCGATCCGTACACGAGGCTGATGCTGGAGAGGCTGCTGAGCAGAACTGCCGGGATGCTTTGATTTTATAAATAATTAATTTAAAGACGTGCTTTTTCGTTCATGTATGTGCTATAAAGAAGGGTCATCGGCCCTAAGGTCGCTCATTATACATTTTTCATTGTTCGAGTGTTATTTGACGCAGGTGTTAAGAGTTGATTTTGTCACTGTGATATGGCTCGTGGTGAAGAATGGGAGAAGTGGTGAGTGTGGTGGAGGGGAGGGGTGGTGGGGAGTCGTGGTAGATATGGAGGTAAGAGGGGTGGTGGGCTGAAGAGTGATGGAGGGGAGGAGTGGATGTGGAGTGGTGGATTAGGAGGGGAGGAGTGGTGGATGTTTGAGTGGTGGATTTGGAGGGGAGGGTTGGTGGGTGTGGAGGGGAGGGGTGGTACGGTGTAGTAGGGGGGCTCTCGCCGAGGAAGCTACCGGACAGTTTCGAGGCAGATGCCCCCCAACATCAACGGAGGAGCGACACTCACAATGAGCAGAGTGCCCGGAAGATAAAATTCAGCAAGTTGGCTCAGTAATAAGCACAGGTGGTGGTGCATCTCAGTCAACCCATGGCACCTGGGTCTGCCCCTTGACCTGCACCTAGCCTGGCACAGCATGGATTTTTCTCCGGGTCCTCTGGTTTGTTTCTCAACATGTAGAATCAATATCACGCGTTGAGAGTATTTGGCTGCAATCCATTTCCACGTGATGAGCCACTTCGTAGAGCTATAGCTGTGGCCGGGTCGCATTTGCAAAAGAGTTGTATAGCTCAGTGCGCCTTATCTGGTGAAATACAAAGTTTAGCATGGCACTTCGCGTGTCCTCAAAGTGCACTTTGCCTGGCACAAACTCCGTGGTGACGTCACCGCCAACGAGTGGCGAACAGCGGCTGTGTAAGTGTTAAGGAGTTGTGAAGGATAAAACCCAAAATAACAAGGGCAGCAATTTTTTCCCAATTCTGTAGTATAAAAAAAAACTAAACTCAATGGTTTCAAGAGCGGCAATGCACTGTGGGTCCTTAATAAACGCCAGTGACGAAGCCCTTGCAGAGGTTGATGACCTCTGGGTAAGACGAACCCTCAAACGGACCCAGGCACATAAGTCAAGTGCAGGGCAATGTCATTCTTTATTTCCTATTATTGTGGGGAAGAGGTCACATCTGAAAGTCATTTTTTAAAATATCCAAATAATCGATATGTAGATCCGTTCAAAAACTGTGTATAAACACAACGCAACCTCTAATAGCTTACTAACCTAGATTTGAAGTTTTCGTGACTGCAGGGATACTCTGGTTCTTTCGGCAAAGTCACGTAGGTAGAAAATAAATTAAATCACGACGTTTCGATCGCAACACAAGCGACAGTCATTATTTAATTTATTTTATACCTACATGACTTTACCGAAAGAACCAAAGAGTATAGTTTAATAACCTTAATTCGCATCAGTACGCCCTTATAACGAGGTTCAACTTTGCATCCTTATCAAGGTTTATCTTTAAACATTTATGAAGGTAAACTCGACATATACATGTAGATATGGAGGAATGGGGATATTGCACACGGAAATTCTGCAGAAGCTAATCAAGCAAGTAATAACAAGACTTGCACTTTAAAATGTGTGGACAAAAGTTGACCATTTTCTTGACCGATATTTCAAGTGAAATATTTCACCGATTTTGTCGACGAGACGAGGGTGATAACGAAAACTAATTAACAATTGACATTTCAAATCAACGTCCTATTTCTCAACGTGTACACTAGGAAGGGTTGTTTACCCCCCACCCCCTACTTAAAATATTCCCGCCCGTGGAAAGATATGCAAAGTACAGGAAATAAACCACAGTACAGTACGAAACTTTTCATTGTAGCTTTCTGATAAGTGAACACAAACGGGTCGCACACACACACACACAATCAACGACTGCACACTGCTAGTGTTTGCTCAGCACCTATACGACGATTTCCCATCATGTCACACAATGCAAATCACGTAATTTTCTACGTTTCAAAAAACACAAGAAATCTGCTTTTAAATGTTTGCAAAAGTCGCTTGCTTGCCGGCTGTTAATTCATCTCGAACGCGTGTCAACACCATGTGCATCTTGGCCTAAAACGTGTAAAAACTTACAGACCGCCAATCTACACATTGCTCAATAGAGTACCCTACAGAATCTAATCTTTTCCGACAACTTGCGCACACGACGGGGGTTATAAACTTCGGGGTCAAGGGAGACCACCACCACGGGCGGCGCCACACACACAATTGTGTGTTATTTTTAATCAGTCTGGCTACCGTTAAATACTGAGCAATGAATTAGTTACGACATTGAGTCGAACCGAAGCCGAGATGATAACCTATCTGGGGGCTCCGCTTAACTCCTGCCACTGTGGGTGACTCACGAACAAAACGCCGTCCACGTTTAACAAGTTAACATTCTTAGACGTTAATTAAGTGGGCACTCAACTAAGCCACTTAAAAAGCGGTGGGCGTGTTGTTGTTCGAGCCAAATTTGACGGGCGATAGGAAGCTGATTGCACAAAAATATACAATTGCCTTGTTCATGCCTTTCCAAGTCCCTTGAGGTCACATTGGCTGTTTATAATAACACTAACTTATTTAATTGGATTAAAGGCACGCTTCTCATTTCGTTTTCGGTTTTATAAATCAAACGTTGAGCTAAGCTGCTTCAATCTGTGGCATTCCTACCTCCCGTTGATTGTGTTTTTTTAATTTAAGCATATTTAATATCCGGTACTGTTAATTACACACTATTTTTCCCCTACAATAACTCGACTGTATACGCTTTCATAGTTATGTTTCGTTACAGTTAGTTCGATAAACACGCGTATCATTTGAATACATCTACAATGTACAGGACTGTGCAGCATAAAATGTTTTTTAAAGTCACAAACCGTACACTGCTTAACATGAACACCAGCATCGCTTCACTTCGCTAAAGCACGGAACGTCTGGTCAACACGTTGGCCCCAACGGTCCCAGCCATATACCAACGGCTTGTATCTGCCTCGTGTGTACATTCTCATGGCTGTGCAACATTGAATTATATGAAGCCCAGATTTGAAGCTTTCGTGACTGCAAGTATTCATATTCTTAGGTTTTTTCGGTAAAGTCACGTAGGTAAACAATTAAAAATTTACTTTAAATGAAATAAAAATAATTTTAATTTTTTACCTACGTGACTTCACCGAAAAAAACCTAAGAATATATGAAGCCCCCCTTTTAGTACGGATTATACGCCCTTTGCAATGCGTTTATGACGGTGTGTACCGTCGTAAAATTATCCATTTGTTAAACGTGTTATCCTCTTGTTCAAAGTTGACGAATATGCAAACAGCAAGTGAGCATCTTGTGGGTCTAATTCTGCAAGGCACATGACCAAGACCCAAATGGAAGCACTGCCTATGTCCATGCGTTTGGTTGGCGTATAAGATGACCATTATTGTGTTCGGATGGAATGATCTTGATGAGCAATTTACATACATGTGATAAGTAGCTAATGAGTCTGTACACACTTTTGTAAAGTGTTTATTCCCATTTTTTAAGAATAACGATTTGAAGCATCGTTCCACAAAGGATATTATGCGACACGTTTAGTAGTGTAAAATGCATTTTACCCTGAGAACTCAGAATATCTTCATGAATTTGTTCTACGTCATCATCTTAATATATGCATGTTGGAGTATATATTTGAATAATTATTTTAACTTCCTTTGGGTTCGGGTTGCACAAGCCAGCCGTGGCATTTGATAAATATTAAATTGTTATTTTTGCAAAGACAATACTGTACTGTATATCTGGGGTATCCATACATTGAGACTGCATATCAACATGTATTTAGATGTTTGCACAGGTTATACCAATGAAAATTGTATATCTTACAGACTACTTCTGCAGTAATGGAAAAGTTAACAAGTTTCCCAGATAATATAATCAAGGCAAGTGTATGCTTCGTCTTCTATAACGACTGGGCCTCTCTATGTATGTATATATATAAAAATCACTCTTCCAATTATGAGACACTTTATATAATAATCCCATGATCTCGTCAACTGGGTACTTGTGTAAACTTTCTATCCTCTGCCCTGTCCTTCATTGGAATCGTGGTGAAAGTGAACGACACCGCGGTCGACATTTCCTATCCACATCGGCCACTTCAACACCGCGACTAAATCACCCAACACAATGGGGACACGCCAAGAACTCATCACATCTCAGATGCCACCTGTCGGGCAGAGAGAGCCTTGCTACCCACTGGAATTGGACGACTACCAAAATCTTGGCAAGGCGTTATAGGAGTATCAACAAAGTTGAGCGTCGCCCCTTCACAAAAGTTGAGTGTTCCCCCCGGTTGATCGAGTTGCTTCCACGTTAAGCTCACGACCACTCATTCGTGTCAAAAACAAAATAGAACCCAATGAACGACCGTCATGCAAAAATGTCCCGAAATGCAGCGAGGCTTGCCCTGGTGTGTAGTTAATCAACGTCACTATTTTTTGTTAATATAGAACAACACAATGATAAACGCCAAAAAGCGTAAGAAAAACAAACCACCGATACGCTATAAACAATCAATCAATCGCTCCAACGGAAGAAGAGAGAAGAAACCCAAATCCGCAAGCCATTGTCGCCAACAAACAAATCACAGAAGTTGCCACAACAAGAGGACGGCTCGTTACCTGCGGCGGACCCGTCGGAGGAGGAGGAAGCCGTGGACTTGTGCTCGTCGGAGCTCCCACGACGAGGAGGAGGAGCAGGGATACTCGTATGGGGACTCATCAGTGCACCCACAACAATCACCCACAGCCCGTGCAGTCGTCAATTAGTAGTGGTGGTGGTGGTGGTGGCAGCCTCGCCAACCGGGTTTCACGTGGAATCTCTATCGACCACAACAACCCACGTCGTTCCTCTACCCGCTGTGTTATACACACACACACACACAACTTCGCTTATATATATAGGGCTGCATGTATAGATCGCCGACCTAGAGTCATCAAGTGGTCTCGCACATTTGCTCCTCCCGTAAGCCGTAACCTTTGGCCACGCACAGATGATTCATGCGACGTTTTAAGGCGCTCACCCCCCCCCCCACACACACCACCACACACTTGCAGCAACCACGAGGTACGATATATATTAGTGCAACCAAACGAATTCGTAGTGTTGTAATCTCATAAATGCACGAAGGGGAGGGGGGTGTAGATTGTAAAGTGTCGTGGTGATGGTGGTAGTGGCACCCGTTTTGTTTTTACGTCAATGGCCAGCGCTTGGGGATGGTGGGGGCGATTGCGAATTAAACATTTGGATGAAACTCGCCTCGACTCGAACTCATAACTAATGTGGCAAAGCGTGCGACAAACTCACCTTTCATCTCTCTCCGTCTCTCTCTCACACTGCCACCAACTTAGTCTGGCTTCGTGTGGTAGTTGCTGCACGAGCAGAGGGCCACGCGTATTTATAACTTAACCTCAATGCGATTGCTTCTGTGCCAAATGCCTCGTACAATTAATTCTGCATTACCGCATTGCATGGGCTTGTGTATGCGTGTGTGTGTGTGAAGCGATATTGTTCATTGGGTTTGTGTGTGTGTGTTGGTGGTGGGGGGGGAAACTTGACTTATTAAATACAAGTGGGGCTAACAAACAAAAACCCCGATACGATTAAACGAGATTATTAAATCAAGGAGTTATTTAATTTGAATGCGATTAGGTAAACTATTATTATTGCTAGCGCCACTCCCATCCGATAACCATTGATGGGGCTTAATTGGTGTTTGTGAATTGGATGTTGACGCTGCCTCACGTCGCCTGCACAACGGTGTCGTAGTAGAATAATAAAACCATTGCGGTCACCAAAACTCAAACATTGGTCACCCACGCCTTGTGGAAGCTCTCATCCGAAAAACGGACTTCTTCTTCGTGGTGTGCTCTGCTCTGCATGTGCTTTTGCCCGTCGTCTCTGCCCTTTCCAAAGCTTCCAGAAAACCCCGAGCTCATTGTGGTTGTCCTGTTCACAGGCGAGCTCCACACTTTTGCTATCCCTCCGGCGTGGACGCAACGTGGAAACGAAACCACGGCGCTGTTATTTGACCTCGCACTTTACTACAAACGGGGGGTGGGTTTACAGAGTCATCGGCGTATATAGAAGACATCACACTCGAACAAAGGCGACCGTGGAGAAAACGACGTCGCGATTGGTGTTCGAAGCCTCTCCTCCGAATGTCTCACGCAAAGTCTCGACAAACTCATCGTGTTCGCATCCTTGCTCTCACGACACACAACTCTCACTCGGCTCACCCGTCGTGAAGAGGATCATCGTTGGAGAACTCGCCGAAGCGGATTACCTCCACGCCAATGTATTCGCCGCACTTGCAGAACGGCAACCCGCCACCCCACCGACCACGAGGACAATGCCCTCAACCTCCCCGCTGCGTGTGGACAACGGGAGTCGCGTTTCTTTATTTAGCTCTTTAATTTTTTTTTGGAGACTGGCCAGACGTGTTGAGCGAGTGGTGGGCGAGCCGGGGCCCTGGTGGCTGTTACCCACGCTTCGCCCCACCAATACGCAGGGGGGACCCACCCAATCGCAAATTAGCCCGACTGCACAATGCGTACAAAAGGTGGTAGAATGCGGATGGAATTTCAACTTGCCCAGGGAGAGAGAGATAGGAGAGTGCCACCCACCCCGACTGCTCCAGGAATCGAACCCGGATGTGTTAAGCACCGGCACGCAGCCTCTTGAGACACAAAGATGCCATTGTGCTTGGCCCCGCTGATCAAAGTAATAAAAAAATTAACGTATTGCCTGTGCAGTGGCAGTCAACTGCCCTATGCCATGCGTTAAATAACAACCTCGATATTCTTAGTTCTTTCGGTAAAGTCACGTAGAAGGGAGAGAATAATAAAAACTTTACCGAAAGAACCAAGATTATGAATCCCTGCAGTCACGAAAGCTTTAAATCAAAACAACCTCGATGTTTTCTAAATGAAACTAGTGAAACAATGATGGTGATGACGGTAATCATCAGTATCGTTGACGAGAATATATTTTCTAATGATTTCTTTGGGTCATGTATAATTTCGCGTCCTAATTGGGAGCAACATCGAGTAAGGGGGAGGGTAACTTGCCTGTACGATCAGCAGCAGTTCAGCCAGCATTGATTCAAGTAAACCTCACTGATTAGAGTAGACACTCGAGTGTCGAATTTGTTAACAATGCTTGCTGAAATTATGCAAGATGTGTTTTGTATGCCATGATTTTTTTGGTATATGTGGCCAGACAGATATGTGAAGGAGATATTGATTATTCTTGGTTCTTTCGGTAAAGTCACGTAGAAGGGAAACAATAAAATAATAAAAATATAAAACAATAAAAATTCTCACGACGTTTTGACTGCAACAACAAGCAAACATCATCAGATGTGAAATCCACGGCAAGAAAATGCAGTCGAAACGTCGTGAGAATTTTTATTGTTTATTAGTTTTATTATTTTATTATTTCCCTTCTACGTGACTTTACCGAAAGAACCAAGAATATGAATCCCTGCAGTCACGAAAGCTTTAAATCAAGAGATATTGCTTGTTGATGACAATGGTATAATCGTCAACGTTTCAAAGGGTTCTGTATTACTGTTCATGCAATAGGATATGGATAATCACTGCAAAAGCATACATTTATTTAGCACATTTACATTTAAATGATGTTTACCAGAATACATCTATTTACTAATGTCCCAAATACTCGAGGAGGAATTCTGGAATAATTATTTTTTCTGGAGTTTGTGAGAGAGAAAAGAGTTAGCTGTGGAATATTGTAAACTACATATTTTATGCATAGGCTTTCACGACCAATTTGATAGACAATTAGCTTATTTTGGGTTAGATCGTGTTAAACTTTAATTATGAGTTTAACTTAGATTATTTATAACTTAGATTATAAGTTTAACATTGCAATGTAAAGCGCCTTGGAAAAGGAGCTGTATGAATCCGAATTAGAATACAATTATACCTACACGATGTAATCCACAATAAACGAAATATGTGTCAAACTACATTTTTGAACATTTATTGACATGCCATCTACCGTGGAGCGATTAAATCAGTTCTTGTGCAGGCAGGTGCTAGGTGGATCACGAACATCGCAGGGCCATGAGAGATGTCATGGCTAATGAACATCTCGATTTAAAGCTTTCGTGACTGCAGGGATTCATCTTCTTGGTTCTTTCGGTAAAGTCACGTAGAAGGGAAATAAAAAAATAATTCTCACGACGTTTCGGCCACAACGCAAGCAGCCGTCCTCAGGTGAAGAACAAGTCTGTCGGAAAGACGCTGTTCTTCACCTGAGGACGGCTGCTTGCGTTGTGGCCGAAACGTCGTGAGAATTATTTTATTATGTTTTATTTTTCATTATTTCCCTTCTACGTGACTTTACCGAAAGAACCAAGAAGACTAATGAACATCGTTTGGCAAACCGATTGCGACACGGCGTTTAATGAGATAGGCAGATTTTCCACGGGCCACACTTTCTTGAAGGCTGAAGCTATGACCAAGGGGACAAGTATTTGTTAAGCTACTTTATAATGCACAAAGTTCAGACTTGACCACGACATCATGAACTTGCAATTGACGCACGAGCTAAATTAAAGTGTGCCAAGTTCACACAATTTTTGCTTTGCTCAATGGAAGTGAATCGATTTGCATATACTTTGCATATAATTTACATTTATTGTCATGTGTGTTTAACTCAAGACCGTAACAGGTAAAGGTGCAGCACTGAAAGTTCTTACTCACGCCACTGCTGTCGGTAGGGACTCGACTAGACGGAGCTCAAGATTGAAAACTGCTTTTGTGTGCTTAGTTCGTTGCCTTTCCCCCGCACCTCCGATTAGCACGGTCGGCTGCGTACGGTGCGAAAAAAGTTCAACATACATACACAAAAAAGTTCTTCAAGAGCTCCCCCTCTCGTAGAGACCCTCTACAGCGCCCCCCCTGGAGGGTATGTTGTCCTCCTCTGTGCCACACTGACCTAGACGTCTTGCAACACGTGGCAGTACCCACACTTCACCCCACCAAACGCGACCTGTCGTTCGACTAACTGTGGTGTACCCACGTGCACTGCCGCTGAGTGGATAGAGGTAGGGGGATTAATGAGCCTATCCACTGTTTTGTGTTTTGTAAAGAGATAAAACCAGCAACCACCGGCATATGAAGTCCAGTTTGAGAACCGTTACACCACACGGTAACATTCCGAAATAGATCACAGTGTTGTGCAGTAAATTGTAATACAAAAGACTTAAGTAACAGGGATCGCACGCGTCTCTTTAAGGACTGCTCGGTGACCTTATTTATCCGGAACCGTCTCGGATTTCCCACATTGCATTGCGGCTCTTGAAATACAATATTGAGGTTTTTTTTTTTACCGAATTCGAAAAGAAAAATACTCTTGTCATTTTGGTTGCTGACCCCAAGACTAAATCAAGCAGGGGTGGAGCGGTGGCACAAATGTTGGAGCACCACGCTATGAGCCTGGCAACCTTAGTTCGATACTCTGCCATGTGGTATAAGAAACCACCATGAGCTCCCCCGACTTAACCAGCTCTCACTGACCAGCGTGGTGAAGTATGGTCAAACATCAATCCCCATTACCGACAACGGGCATGGGAAACGCTTTCATCAGCGGTGGATTGTGACAAATGTCTGTACAAAAAGCAAGCATATGTATATGAATTGCATGCTTAAAATAGGATTTAAACTGTACCTTTTTTTTAAGAGCTCAGCTCTGGGAGATGGGTGGCTATGTAACCCATCCCTTCTCATCAGCAGGCTGGCCTGTGTTTGTGGCTCAGGTTACATCACGTAACCGATGCAATGTATGACCGAGCAGTCAGCTAAGGCTTGTAAACAGAGGGCAGGCGAATTTGTGTGTTATCTTGTTCCTTTACTGCACATTACGTGAAGTAAGAGTATATTTAAACATTTCCACTAGATAATATTGTTATGAGAATCA